ATTTCTAAAGGATGCTTTCAGCACCTTGTTGAATCAGTGCCACGTAGAATTAAGGCAGTTCTGAAGGCGAAAGGGGGTCAAACACTGTATAAGTATGGTGTTCCTAATAATCCTTTAGGTGAGTGTACACACACACACAAAAAACAATTTCAATTGTTAGAGATTGTAGAACTTTATTCAACTGTCACTCCAGTTACTTATTTAATCATCCAATGTAGGATATTTGTAACATTCTTTTATTGATTATAACAATTAGTGCCAATGTTAGTGCAGTAGTTTAAGTATCTTGCCCATTAATGTGTATACACAAACACACACACACACACACACACACACACACACATACACACACAGAGTATACCTCTGTCTATTCCTCCTGGTGTTGGCTGGCTAATATGCCTATGCCTGGATCGAAGAGCACAAGAATGTCTATAGCAGAGCAAACCACTAACATCGCAATCAGATTTTCATTGGTTGTCATTTCCAGTGGATTTCACTTTGGTACAACTTTCTTCAAAGACTAGCATTCATCAGGCTTTCACTCAGTTTTCTAAATGCTGACACTAAATTTCACCAAAACACTGTCATATTACCTATTGTGCAATAATCGGCAGTATAACGGTCTCACCTCCCAGTCCAGGCCTAAGCCGATTATCGTAACCATCCAGGAGGCTGTCGAGGATTTTCGTGAAGAGGGTGATGTTGTTTTTAAATGCGTCAGTCGTGCTGTCATCTGCTTTGGAGCTGCACACGCACATAATAGAATTGAAAAAATGTAAATATGCGTATCTCTGGGGAAAAGAATCTTACCCTCCACTAGACACCATGACATCCTGACATAAGCATCAGAAGGAAACGAAGAACACTCCCTGGCTTAATATGAACCACGCGACCCGGTTCCCGCTACGGGCACGTGGTACATCATCCGACTTGGTATGAACCACGCGACCCGGTTCCTGCTACGGGCACGTGGTACGTCATCCGACTTGGTATGAACCACGCGACCCGGTTCCTGCTACGGGCACGTGGTACGTCATCCGACTTGGTATGAACCATGCGACCCGGTTCCTGCTACGGGCACGTGGTACATCATCCAACTTGGTATGAACCACGTGACCCGGTTCCCGCTACGGGCACATGGCCAGACTTGATACCTACCATGTGACCTGGTTCTTTTGGTCCACTTTCCTGTTAAAATGCAGCTTTCTGTCTCAAAGTGAGTAGTGCGTTTTGTTCTCAACATAATCACACACAAACACAATCATGTGCAAACAATTATTCTTTTGTTTATCACCAGACATAAAACATTCATATATTCAGAATTAAAATTTTTATGATTGTTGGTGCCAATCATTACCGAATCTCAGAAACAGCCTCCTTCCTGAAATTTCCATGTACTACCTAGTACACAGAGAATGGTGAGAGGAATACAGAGCATCTATTAAATTGCAATTCTGTGTTCATAAAAACCACAAAGCAAGATTTCTCCGTTAGCTGGCTTAACTTACGCTAGCAGTCAGAACTGTCCAATAAATGTTTAAGTAAAGAGTATTCCTATTCGACAATCATGACTTCTACCTTAAGTTAACCCAGCTAACAAATCTTGCTTTGTGGAACCTCCCCCCAGACTTCTGCAATATTGGATGAATACCACACCAAGTTAAAACACTGAAAATATTAAGCGCTAATTAATATTGAGGGTTGACTCTTGATTAATCCTACACAGTTAACACAAATAATTAGCATTTAACAGTAATTATTCAAAATAGAATAGTTAACTTCCCATTCATAAATCTTTCTATTAAAGGGTGCCGTTGACACATTATTATTAGTTTCAATTAGTAATTCAAAATGCTTTAAAATGAAAAGTGCTGACAATCTAACTAGAGTCAGTTGTTTATGTGACCACATATAAATGTTTTAATTGGATTAAAAGTGAATTGATTGAAATATGACCATGTAATGCAGTTCTTCGCTCCATATCTACGGAGAATAGCCGTTGTCCACACTTTGCGTTCACGGTTCTCTTTTTTTAATGTGTAGGCATTAACGTGGCACAGACTCATTATTGTCAATCGTGGAGGCTGATGAATATGCACTGGATCTGATGTCTTTCATCGGTGTCGCCACTACCGCTCACTGTCTGGGCTACTTATAATATATTAATTAAAATAAGAAGGTAATGACACTTACCCCATCTGCCAAAGCACCGTCAAACTGAACCAGATGAGTAACCCATGAGCATTGTTCGCCAGCTCCCTCATGGCTGAGAGTCACACCAAAAAATGAGGGGAAAATCATTTAAATCGATTGATTAAGTTGTTAAAAAATACAACTTTAATTGTATTATTTGTGTGCTTGTCTATACACAGCAGCCAATATTTGTTCCCTTAACGATGACGTGGCAGATTACAATAACTTTAGCGGATCTTGTTTTCCACAACCGATGCCTTTCAGAAAAAAAGGTATTAATACTGATTCTAAGTGGCTGTTGTAACCTCGCATCTGTTGCATGGGGGGAAATCCTTAATGTGTTAAATAAATTAGGGCTGCAGTCTATTAACAAGATAAGCAAAACGATGAAGTTTCATATGAAGCTTACCTGAAATGGGGGACTTGCCACCGTGTACTGCTCTCGAGGATGAAAAAATACAGGAAAGTTCAGACGAAGAAACAGCGAGTAGATGAAAACTAGTGTTCAGTGAGTGCTAAGCAAGGGTGCACAGAGCGCGCGAGGTTACCGTGGACGAGCCCGCATGAATGACAAAAAGCGAGAAATCCCTTTATGTGTAATCACGTTTACCGTGAATCTTACAGGGTATTTCAATTGTCTTTCATTCAGCATTTTCTCGTTTGTTACTTTCTTCTCACATTCAGCTCCCTAATCTATACTAGGCAGCACGACAGGCTGAAGCAGAAGTAGTAAAGGAAACACGCCAAGCAGCACCGGGTCCTAAAGCTAGCATTTTTTTAAATTAATGTTGGTTCTACATTTTTTAAACTTAAATGCTGGGAAATGGAATTAATATTTATTATTCTTACGAAATAAGTTTAAGTTAGGATGTCCAGTTATAGCAAATAATCCTACAATATATGCAAATAAACGTGTTTTAAATAAAGCTCCAGGTAGAATGGTACAATTAAGACTCATTTTAATGAATCAATCATTTAAGTGTAATTTTGAAGGTTTGTAATTCAAATTTTCCGTTAGCAGACGACAGGAAACTAAGTGCCCTTGAATTTATGTCATGAAGGCGATCTTCGACATACAACAGATTAAATGAACCCGAATTAACCAAGTGATCCATCATCCACTTAATGACCGCACCATAAACTTAATTAGCGCCAAAATTTCTAAGAAATGTTTTCAGGAGAGTCGTTATAAAAACGTTAGTAAGAGAAATGGGCATGTTCTGACAGTACAAAGAGTTTCCGTGTAAGATTTCTAGAAGAACGATTTATGCAGAAAATGTGTTCTGCTCATTGTTCACTGAACCACGTGTACCCGTGTTCCTTTCATATTACATTGAACATGTTTATCATTGTTTAAAGACACAAAACACCACATTAAAAATGCAATTTAATTTAGTGTTCTGGGTTTTGCGATATATGCACATTTATATTTTGTTCGCCTGTATTGTCAATTTAGCATAATTAATTCAAAATTTCAAGATTATTACACTAATAAGTTACACATCACTCTCAGGACCAAAATAAAGTAGCATTAATAGAACTTTAAATGGAATTCAGTGTGTCATACAACAGTATTAAACAGCTGAATAATGAAGCAGAATATATCCTGGATTTCTTCAGTACCCCCAAAGTTATACTTTGTATAATCATGCACTTCAAAACTGAGTAATCTAAAGTAAGTCCTTGTTCACACATATGTGGGTAATTTTTAAAATGTAGCTTTTTCTATGCTTTTCGGCCTTATGGCCACAGACAAATGGCGTTTTACAAGCTTTTGTAAAACTCCAATCCAGCGTGAAAAGTTTCAGAAACTCAGTTTTCAGTGTCAACGCGTAGACAGGGAAAACAGTGTTTTGGGCTTGTAACATCAGAGTGTGCATGGTACTTGCCTGCTGGCTTCCTGTCTTTGGGGGGGGGGGGTTGTTTGGTTTTGTGTTCTTGCCCCTTTAGGTTCCACATTCTGTTACAAATAAAACTAGCTTTATAATCCTGATCTACTCATTTGCTGTTGACCTCATCAGTGGACATCACCCGGAGGTGGAAGGAATTACTTTAAGGACCTCCTTAACCCTGCCTCAGATACATCTACGCGCACTGCCTTTGAGACATCTGAGGGCACAAAGCCTAAGGGGGCTGGGGTGGTTGAAGAGCTACGTGGTGGCCTGGCCCTGGCGGTGGACGAGATCCACCCAGAGTACCTAAAGGCTCTGAATGTTGTGGGGCTGTCATGGCTGACACACCTTCTCAGCAGTGCGTGGAGTTCAGGGACAGTATCGCTGGATTAGCAGACCAGGGAGTTGATCCCCTTATTTAAGAAAGGGGACCGGAAGGTGCATTCGAACTATAGGGAGATCACACTTCTCAGCCTTCCTGGGAAAGTCTATTCCGGGGTACTGGAGAGGAGGGTGAGATCAATAGTCAAATTTCGGATTCAGGAGGAACAATGCGGTTTTCGTCCTCGCCATGGAACACTGGACCAGCTTTATACCCTTGCAGGCTTACGACCGGGTTCCCCAAGGTGCTCTGTGGGGGGTGCTTTGGGAGTATGGGGTTCTGAGTCCACTATTGTGGGTGATTCGGTCCCTGTATGAATGGAGCAGAAGCTTGGTCCGCATTGCCAGTAATAAGTCGGACGTGTTCCCAATGCGGGTTGGGCTCCACCAGGGCTGCCCTTCGTCAGCGGTCCTGTTTATAATATTTATGGACAGGATTTCTAGGCGCAGCCAGCGTGTTGAGGGTGTCCAGTTTGGTGGCCTCAGGATTGCGTTGGGTGGATTGCCCTCTTCAGGTCATATCATTCATAATTTACAGAAAATACAGTCCTGTAACTTGGTACATTTCAGGCCTGTTTTGTTCCATCATCCTGCCCAGTTGAGGGATCTAGTAAACTCATTTGTCAATGGGTGCTTTTCCACCACACCAAGTATTGTACTTTTGGTACGGTACTTTCGGGACTTTCCCTTTTCCATTGACTTTCAGTAGAGTACCAGTACCAAAAGTGCCAAACCGGCTAGGGCACTTCTTTGGTACTTCAGTACTGTGGGGTGGGACTTGAAATGCTTGCGATTGATTATGCAAATAACCCACCTCTGAAACACAATACAACTGAAATCTTTAAAAAAATTGCGAAGTCAGAAAACAACGATAAGCGAAGTAAAAAGAAATTATTGCGATCTGGTCGGAAGAACAGATACAAAAACAGATCAGGACGGCATGACAAGAAGTTTAAAAAGAATTTTGTTTGATATACTAGGACAGTACACATATATAGTGTGCTGTCCTAGCAATGTCATTTTGTTGTAAATATAGAGATTTTGTTGTAAAAATATTGTGGGTATTTATAATGCAAAAACAACGTAATACACTTCTCACAAAACCATCTAGGAGTCATTGAAACACCAAGGATGAAAATCATTATGATTGTTTTGGAGAACGCATGCAGTGCTAATACAAAGGCAGAGGTGAACTTTAAACTGATTTTTAAACATATATTAATCTATAAATGGAATAATAATTAAAATCTCAAAGCTAGCTAAGGTTTTTTTCTATGACAGGCTAGTAATGTTTCAGCGAAATTTAAACTCCCTGTGCTATAATGTCTGTATACAGGTTGAACATACTAACAATGTAAAAATTGCTTGTGCAACAGATATAATGTTGATATTAATATTGCACATCATCCAGCCCTATAATATACTACAGCCATTTTTCAAATTCAGTCCAAATCACCTCGCCTCGCCTTTGTGATGTCATTCAGCGCCGGTATCAGTGTTTATGCCACTGGAAAACTAACACCTTGAAGTACCGTACGTTTGGTACTTTCTCAAGGTACCAAAAGCACAGTACCTGGTGCAGTGGAAAAGTGCCCAATGTCTGCACAAGTATTTGTCTTTCCAAACTTGAGCGGTCATGCCCACCATACAAGTTGTAAAATGTTATCTGTAACACAAGCACCACAGCAATAAACAGAAAGGCTAATTCAATGGTATGATGTAAAATCCATAGAGTTACGGAGCGTATACAGAGAGAGAGTGGCACATTAAACTGCCAAAAATCCAAATATAAAACTGTTTACTGCCAACAACATATACAATGTTAAATCATTGTAAACCTTTTAACTAAAAGCCAAAATATGCCAATTTAACTAAAAGCCAAAATATACATCTCTAAATGGGAATCTGCTACACAAACATCTAAAAGTGTCTTCTGGTGGACCACACAGCTGATCCCCTTTGTTTGTCCAGTCCACGGCAACCTTGCCTTGTCTGGTGTCTGTTGGTAGCCAGATTTTGAGTATACCAGTGTCTGGGAAAGTATCCTGAAACTAGGGCTTCAGCGATATAAACAATATATAGACTTAACATATAAAATTTAAATGATACAATGACAAACTTCGATAAACTATGCATGAGAAACATTAAGAAATGTCAGGGTCAGCCCCTGTGGTCCTACTGTGTTCCTTCCCCGTTTGGCCAGCAGGCGTTGCTGGTCATCCTGTCCTTCAACGTCTTTGTGTTTCCCCTGTTCTCTGTTAGCCTCATAGTTCAACACATTGAGCATCCAGTTGTTTGTGAATCCTTCTGTCCTGTGTTCAAATCCCACCTCTTCTGTTTTTGTATTTTGATCCGTAGTGTTTCATTTGAGTTTCTCTAGTTCTTGTGTCTGATTTTGTAGTTGGTTTTTGTTTTGTTCCTTGTGCCCCTGCTTGTGTCTTTACCTGTTTGTAATTCCGTAGTGTTGGTTTCTATTTCCCTGTTTCCTTGGTTAGTTCTTAGTTTCCCTGTTTTGTTCCTTTGAGTTAATTAGTCTCACCTGCCCTGTGTTAGTCTTATTACCCAGTTTTGGTTTCTGTATTTAAGTCCCTGCTTCTGTTCTGTTCTCTAGTGGTTCGTTGATTGTGTTTGATTTGTATTGAGAAGTTTGTGTGGTGTGTATTTTGCTTACCTGCCCAATTTTTGTTATTTAGTCTTTATTTATCCCCTTTAGTTTTTGACCCTCGTGGTCCTTTTGGTTTTGTTGTGTTTGTAGTGTTTTCTGTTTTCTTTAATAAACCCCATTTTTGTTCGTGGAGCCGCCAGTGGGTCGTCCACCCTTTTTATGCACTTTGCCACGTTCTCGCACCGGAACCACCCGGAACCATGACAAAGTAATATTTAAATGCATGTCCACGGAAAACACAAATCTCCATCAATTGACTTTATTTCACTGAATTAGGTATCATTAGCACAGGGTTGCCAACTGTTACACATCTGGTGTGACACTCACACTTTCAGGTTCTCATGCAAGAAATCTCATGCCAAACCTATATTGTTCCATCATAAACCTAAAATTAGCTACATCAAAAGCTTTGGGGCAGTTTGTAAACCCTAGAGACTATTTATAAAATAACGAAACTGTTACATTCATGTATATGCGTGTGCATGTGTGTGCAGACATGTCTCAAATTGAAAATCTCACTCCAGCCAGCTGACAAGTTGGCAACCCTGTTAGTGGTCTAGGTTAATTCTCATTTGGCGTTGAATTTGGATTATTTTTCAATCATCAACATTAAATGATAAACTGCAATCACAAATCAACATTGATTCAATTTACATCTGCCATCTGGGCAGTACACTCTTTCTGAGTAGTGTTTTGCTATCTAGCAAAAACGATACAGAAAGTCATTTGCTCAATTCCATCCATAGCTATTTAGAGGCATGTTTACCAGCATGGGTGGGCCAACAGAAAATCAGGGGGCCACTTGGTGATTAAATCATTGTACAGATGCAATTGCATATTTTCAGTTTTTCTTAATGACCCTTGGCATTACTAAGACCAAATGAATGAAGTGAAAGAAAAATCTCTCTCTCAACAGCACTTTCCCTTCAGTTGATGTAACCACACACACACATACCTATCAGACACAATCGTTTTTATCATACT